TCATGGTTTCCTCAAGAACAAGTAAGGCTGCAGGTGGGATGGGTATCTTTGGAACCACATACTTTCGGGGCTGGATTTTCTTTCATTTCTGGGAAATGAGAGTCCTACTGCTACATTTGTGTGAATGAAGAGTGCTGAATCCATGAGGTACCTCTGGTCACCTGCCAGGGAAGAAACTGCAGACAGTAGATCTACAAGAAAAAGGTTATTTTCTGTTTTCATACAGCAAACTTTTTCGTTGGGAGTGGAGAACTTCAGTATTTCACGAAGGAGATACAAGTTTGAGAAAAATTGTGCTTCAGTCCCTAACTAAATACAGCTCTCAAAGTAAAACTTTGGTTTAAGTATTGGCTCATAGCATCTTCCTCATAAATATCTTCCACAGTTCATCGTCACATTAGTTTTTTCTATAAAATAATGTTACTGGTGTGTGACAATGCAATATTTTCAAACTAAATAGCACAATTTATATAAGAAACATATGCTCTAAAATCTGCGAGCAGAAAGCTACATGCCAATAAATCTAATGTAAAAGCGTAAAAGAAATTAAAAAAAAAAGAGAAAAGAGGAGAAAAATACAACTCTGAAGACTGAATTCTTTCTATTATTTAGTTTAGTATGCCCTGTACTAGAAAACCAAACATTACACTGCATAGTGAAAACAAATACTTTGGGCTCTGAGGTACCTGTAGGGTAAGGCTGCACCCATCAGGTGAGAGAAGTGTTACTTTCTGCTGCAAATATGACCAGCTCCTTTCCATGGGTGTTATACCACTGCCAACAGCAGCCACTTCTAAAGGGAAAGAAGGAAATCAATCTAATGGTTTACTCATCACTGAGTAACCTTCTAGTGACTGGACAAGCTGTAAGTAAAACTTTGAATTTAATCCACATTTTGTGTTAAAACAATTGTGATTTTAGTACTGAAATGAATAAAAAATTAGTCATCCTCTGCTGTGGCTGATATATGTAACTGTCACTCAGATCTGCAAGAAATTATTTGATGATGTGAAAAACAGAATGACTTCAACGGTTTCTTGCTAAATGAATATTTTTCATGATTCCAGACCAAACAGCACCTCCAAAATAGTCTCGGTCATATCATTAGGAAGGAAAAACATAGATACCAAATTAACAGCCCTGTCTCTGTCACACAGAGCAGAGCTCAGCACTGCCACTCCATTCCTTGTGAGGAGCTGCAGCTGCCATCAGGCCTCCCCTCAGCTCCTCTGCTCTGGGTTGAGGCAACCCATGGGTTTGTCTATATGCACATCTTTTAGAAAGAAGAGCCACACATCAAAATTTCAGTATTGGAATTTTAAAATGGATTGAATTTGAAGCAAAATGTTCTTTATACTACTGTCTGGTTTATGTAAGGATCCTTAAAGTGAGTGCATTTCTACAGTTCATGCCAAAGACACCAATTGTGTTGAAAGCTGGGACAGATAGAGTGACAGAAAATGGCAAGTGGGTTCTGTATATAAATCCATACAAACCTAAAATAAGCCTGAATTTGAGAAAGCCAGAATTTATACAAAAAATGCTATAATTGTAAACTTATCGTTGCCTATGGTATTTCAAGTTGCTTATATGTTTTCACTGCCATAATGGCAGAAGGATATGACACCAGCTTTGGTATCTGCACTCAGAAAATATCTCCAGCAAGTTTTGGCACTGTCATTTCAGGCATTTTATCAAGACTAAGTCTTGAAACAAAACAGCATTTTGTCCTTTTCAAAAGTCACTATAATTATTGAAGTGTCCAAATATTTTGATAGTCAGAAAAAAATATAAGTTTCACATAAAAATAATCCTTTTCTAAGGAAAATGTTGGTCAATACTTCAGAAAGCAGTGAATTGCTGGAAATTCATGCCCTCTGAAAATCCTGCATAATGCACGCAATACAATTTATGTGATTAGCAAGAGAGTTTCAAGTTATTTTTTTTAAAGCATGAAGGAGTAGAATATCCCAGTTAGAACACTCTACAAGAAGAGCAAGAGAGATTAATTGCTATACTGCTGGAACAAACTATACTCTATGTAAACTGTTCAGGATCCAAACAACATCAAATGGATCATCTGCTCTGAGGGGGTACTCGAGACCCAAACACTTCTGGACATTGTCAGGTGGAAAAGGAACAGTAAGGAAGAAGGGCAGTACTCCAAGAAACAAAATCGCATATAAAGCAAGCAAGAAGTGTAAACTGAAACATTTTCTTTCCCACCAGCAGGACAAAACAGCAGATTTGACATACTTTTCTTTCTGTACTTGATGTTACTGTGAGGACTATAACCCACTCCTTCACCTCCAAACTCTCCACATCCTTTCTTAAATCTAAACCAATTAATTTATTTACTGTGAAAGTTAGATTTTTATTTTTTAATTTAGGGCTTCTCTGGATACCTTTAAATTCACTTCCAGATTTAATATTTGGGCAATCAATCTTTCAAAACAACGCTTATTCTGGAAAACTGCACAAAATTCAGAAAGCACTTGCCTTTCTTCCAGACTTCTATGTAAAAGTAAAGAGAAGCATAACCATAATAGGACACACACAGTACTTAGACACTTCTTCAGCAATTGCAGTTGGTTTCATTTAAAGGAAAGGCTTCCAAACATCTTGACTGACTTTTACGTATGTTTTTGAAGTGGATTTGCCTTTGTACAGTTTATGATTGCTCTCATAGAACCAACCTTTCGTCATATATTCTAGAAGCTTTTTTTACGTATAATGTTTAGGAATTTTATGTATACTTCATTAGAATATCCACAGAACTACAATCAGAATATTCAGTCCTGCTAACAGCTTCTCTTCTGCGAAGTTACCCATAAATATTGTTTGCCTAACACAAATAACAAACTGATTATTCCCACTGTTCTCTTTTTGGAAAATGTGTTTGCTCCCTTCTTCCTTTTCTTGACTGAGAGTACAGAATTTAAATTTACTATAGATTTTAGTTCATATAGATTCACTTCATTTTGCCAGTACAAGTTATATTTGGAAAATCTCTGACAGATGATATCAGAACAAACATCTGAATAAAAAAATTGTAGATCTTACCTAAGTATTGGAAAGTAGAAGAGCAAGAGATTTCTTGGAGCAAATGAATTTTATAGCTGCACTGCCAAAATTGCAAAAGCATTAAAGTAAAAACAGGGTGAGACCCCTTTTTGAAAACCTCATTTTAAAGTTTAAAGACACCATTAGCAAAATACTGCTACTACTAAAGTATTAGGAGATCCATTTTGTTTTAGGTTTAAAACGCCACTTGCTTTTGCTATAACACAGAGTACTGCTTGTGGAAATAAGTTCTAAAGAAACGTTCAGAGATCTGAAGCATGTAGTCCATCAGGCTGGTAACTGAACTGAAAAATAATAAGTGCTAGGAAAAAGCTAATGCTGAGTTTCACATGTAGAATAATAATAAACTCAGCATAACAAAGTCAGTTTAGGAAACCAAATAGATGCGCGAGTTTCCAGGTGCTGACAGCAAGAGCTGTAGGGCTCCTATATAAGGAGAGACAGGGCTGCCTGTGACAAAAACAGAATTAAATATTTGCCTTCTTTGTTTATCAGTACCCAAATCAGTAATTAAATATTTATGGTAAAGCAGCAATAAATTAAGTTTCCCTATTTTAATCCATTTTGCACAGGATGATAGAGCATAATTTTGGCCATAGATCATTTATTTGATTAACGCTGGCATGAGAAATAGATTTTATCTGAATTTCATTTTTTACTCTAATGATAATTTGTCCTTAAATTTGAGCAGACTGGAAATGTCTATATTATTATTGTTACTATGCATTTGTGTAGAGCTTCTCATACTGAAACATCCCAAAATACTTTATCAGTTTCAGCCTCCTGATCATCTGTCTGTCTTCCTGTGACTTGCAGCATATCCAGCAAGAAAAGATAGAATAATTTTGGCAATGGAAATAATAGACATATTTAATTCAACATAATTTTTTCAACTACTTTTGGAAAACAAAACAAAATGAACAACAACAGCTATCACCAAACCCTACAAACTGCCTGCCTTCCAGGAACAAGAATTCTCTGCTGGAAAATTACCCAGAATAAATTCTCAGAAAGGACATTTTGTGGAGTCAGTATATCAAGAGATGGGAATGAGAGCCATCAGCCTCCTTGTGCAAGTCAGGATGCTGAAAAAAGCACATCACAGCCAGCTGCATGATTCTCAGGATTAACTGAAGAGCTCAGAGAACTTTCTACCAGAGGCATGAAGCTACCTCAGATAGCTATGAGAGATAGCTATGGAAGAAATATGTTACCCAATGATTTGGAACAATTTTCCACATTGCTCAGATCTTAGATACAGTGGTGGATTATTGACAACATATCTAGTGTGACATCTTATCACATAGATTACTGGCTGCCTGCTAAGCAAATTCTATGCGCTCATACAACTTTCTCAGCCTTGTGCAGAATGCCTCTTTCATCCACAATACAGCAGTAACTTCTTTTTAATTCACATTTCAACCCCAGAGGAAAAAAAAAAGTACACTTGTTTGATTTGCCACTTGTGGGATAAATATACTCTGGCTATTATAGAATTACAGAAGTGATGCTGCATAGGATGGAACCATGGAATCATTCTGGTTGGAAGAAGCCTTTGAGACCATCTAGTCCAACAGTCAGCCCCAACCCCACCATACCCACCAACCACATCCCTCAGTGCCACTTCCACACAGTGCTTCAACACCTCCAGGGATGGTGACTCCACCATCTTCCTGGGCAACCTCTGCCACTGCCTCATTCCTCTTCTTGAGAAGTACTTTTTTTTAAAGTTTATTTCTTAAAAATAGCTTGTTAGTAGAGTTAAGAAATACTGCAGTGCCAAAACGTAACTTTCAGGTTGATTTTAAGAAAACAAATTTACTATACTTGTACAACCAATGAATATACAGATGATATAGTATATTCAAAAGCTAGGCTTATGTAATTATTATACTAGAGCAGAAAAGGACACTCACCCTATCGTGGGTCTGCATGGTAAACTCCAGTGAAGTGGATCTCCAGAAGAGATCCTTCTCTACTGCCAGTCAGCTCTTAAATGGGTCAAGGAGAGGTGGAGCCAGGCTCCACCCCTTCCAGCAGCACAGGTGGATTGCCTTCACCTGTGCTCCTGTGGCTGACTCATTGCTCGCCTCAGAGGTTCAGACCATGATTCTACAGCCCCATACAATACTGTATAGTACATGTAAAATAAAAAAGCCAAATAAATATCAAATAAATATGTCAAATAAATCAATATATTCTGTTACTTTTTCAGATTGAGGACAAGTGAGGGCCTAAGGTTAAAATTTGCAGGTAACGATGCAAGCAGATTTCAAGATTTGTCTATAAAAATAGGAAAACACACAGGATTTTAGACAGAAAATCGTTCTTTTGGCACTACTTTTAAAAATTAGCATAAAAAAGCAAAGCTGGGCCAAATTTTCAGAAGTGTATTTTTTTGTTATCTTCATGCTCTGAATGCAAACATAAATGCTTTTAAGTGGAAGATGCATGCACTGATTCTACATTCTGTCGTTTCAAAGAAATGGAATAATATTGCCCAGCTCTGCTACTAAAAATTATGTAACCCAATGAGTTGAAAAAAAAAAAAACAAACCAAAAAAACCAAACCAAAACAACAAACCAAATAGTGATATAATAGAATCATAGAATCACCAAGATTGGAAAAGACTCTAAGATCATCCAGTCCAACCATCTGCCTGTTACCAGTATTTCCCACTAAACCATGTCCCTCAGTACAACACCTAAATGTTTCTTGACTCCACCACCTCCCCTGAGCAGCCTTTGCCAGCACCTGACATTCTCCTTTGGAGAAAAAATATTTCCTAACATCCAACCTGGATCTCCCCTTGTGCAACTTGAGGCCATTCCCTCTCATTGTATTGCTAGTTACGTGGGAGAAGAGGCTAACTCCCACCTCACTACAACCTCCATTCAGTTAGCTGTAGAGATAAGATCTCCCCTGAATCTCCTCTTCTCCAGATATGCAGTTCCACGCATAAAATAATTATTTTCTGGTCCTTTCACCCTTTGTTAGATGTGGGATATTTGCTAATTCATGTTATTATTACTCTCATCCTCCTAGTTTCTCATCCTCAGCAGTTCTTTCTTTAAAGTGTGTTTGACAAAGTATGCTAAAGGAGATGAAGAATCTATGAGGACACAGATGGGGAAAATGGGCAAAAACTACCTGGTCTATGCTTTAAACGCTGGAATGCATCAAGATGTCTCAGTCAGAACCAAAGCAGTTTCTCATTGTTTTTCCTCTACAATAGCTTTCTTTTATCTTTAAGGACATCTCTGAAAAGTTTACTGCTGTATTTATTACAAACATCAGAGAAGTTGCAGAAGAGAGTCCTTCCTGTTCCTGTTTTGCCTGTCACAAGCATTTGCTCTTGATGAGTGCAAATTACTGATTTAGACTACGTTACTTTTCTCACATATCATATCTGAATCTTTGTATTTCTCTTTATCTTTGTATATTCTCTGTAAGCCTTTAAGCAGTGCTTGAGGGAAACACACAGAAAACGGAGAGGGCATTGATAATGAGAAAACTTATTTTCCTTTTTCTTATAGTTAATTATTCCTAGTGATATAATCCTGATTTTAATATAAACAAATAAGTTGTATATAGTATTTTGATCATTTAGACCAGTTAATGCGTTACATTTCCAGTTTTTGAGTTATTTATTTCAATTATCTATAGAAAGGCAATTGCAGGAAAAAGGAGTGGTCTTTGTCAAATACATCAATATTTTCTTCTTTAATGATGAAAGGGAATAGCAGAATAACAAATAACTTTCAACAAAGATGTAGTGAGCAACCTTCTTCCAACCTCAGTAACATCCATATTAAAATATGAGTGCGTTGAGAACTGGCTGACTGGCAGAGCACAGAGGGTCGTTGTTGGTGGTGCAGAGTCTGGTTGGAGGCCTGTAACCAGCGGTGTTCCTCAGGGGTCTGTGCTGGGTCCAGTCTTGTTCAACATCTTCATCAATGACCTTGATGAGGGGATAATGGCCACCCTCAGCAAGTTTGCTGATGATATGAAGTTGGGAGGATTGGCTGACATGCCTGAAGGCTGTGTTGCCATTCAGCAAGACCTGGATAGGCTGGAGAGCTGGGCAGAAAAAAACCAGATGAGGTTTAACAAAAGCAAGTGTGGAGTCTTGCATCTGGGGAGGAATAATTCCATGCATCAGTACAGGTTGGGGGGTGAGCTGCTGGAGGGGAGCTCTGCGGAAAGGGACCTGGGTGTCCTGGTGGATGACAGGTTGGCCATGAGCCAGCAGTGTGCCCTCATGGCCAAGAGGGCCAATGGCATCCTGGGGTGCATTAAAAAGAGCGTGGCCAGCAGGTTGAGGGAGGTGATCCTCCCCCTCTACTCTGCTCTGGTAAGACCTCATCTGGAGTACTGTGTCCAGTTCTGGGCTCCCCAGTACAAAAAAGACAAGGATCTCTTGGAAAGAGTCCAGCGGAGGGCCACGAAGATGGTGAAGGGCCTGGAGCATCTCTCCTATGAGGAAAGGCTGAGTGAACTGGGTCTGTTCAGCCTTGAGAAAAGAAGACTGAGAGGGGACCTGATCCAGGTCTATAAATATCTAAGGTGTGGGGGGCAGAATGGCGAGGCCAGACTGCTTTCAGTGGTGAGTGGAGACAGGACAAGGGGAAATGCTGCTGGAAACTGCAGCATAGGAAGTTCAGCACAGATGTGTGCTAGAACTTCTTTACAGTGAGGTGACAGAGCACTGGAACAGGCTGCCCAGGGAGGTGGTGGAGTCTCCTTCTCTGGAGATGTTCAAGACCTGCCTGGATGCCTACCTGTGCAACCTGCTGTAGGGAACCTGCTTTGACAGAGGGCTTGGACTTGATGATCTCTGGAGGTCCCTTCCAACCCCTACAAATCTGTGAAAATCTCTCATTTTTAATGCCACAGATGCCATCACCAGCATTTCAGAGTTTTCTGCTCGATTAGTCATGATTATGACCAACCAAACACAGCAAAACGTGATTCTTCTACTCACATGTACCTTGCTAGCCAGTTGGCTGGCTTTTCCTGCTCCCTGTGCCAGAGTATGATCGTTCAGAGAACCAGGTGCTAATTTGGCTACTGTAAGTTTTTAATTGTTACAATGCCAGTATTTTACAATCCATTAGAGACAGAGATAGATTCAAGCTTGGCAGAAGGCCCTTTTTTTAAGCACAAGCACCAAACAGGTACAAGCACAGTGAATATTTATGTCCAGTATTCACTTACCCCATGTTATGTGACAATTCACAGCCTCCTATTTCTCTATCTGGGATTGGTCGGTATCCTATTCCAGATTGAGTCTCCATAGGATACAAATAAATCAAAATCATTCTCAGATAAAGTATTTGAAATGCAACAGTCTGTTGCAGTTCAGACGTGCCACTGTGAAGTCAATGAAAAAGTCCATGAAAGTACAAAGAATTAACTCACCAGGGAATTTGGCTGCTAAACACTAAGTCACTGGATTTTTTTTTCTCCAGAGATTTACAGCTGACAGCACTAGGGAGGTGATAACTGGGGGAGCTAATGAGGGAGGTTAGTTAATCTTCCAAATTTCATTTAAAACAATGAAAGACTCAAGAGTCTTAGGAGCTGTTGACCCATTTTAAAATATTTTTAAAGCATAACTTAGCTCTGAAAGATCAAAAGTTCAAAATCTGCCAAAATCACAAAGTCTTAAAGTCAAGAGTGATCACCAGCTTTAAAAGGTGTTTCCATCTGCCTTGAATGATGCAAAACCTATAAAAGTAAAGCAAGTTCATACATCCATAGATGTTTCTGCAGTGTATTAAAAAAAATCTAAAGGGAATTTTGGCAATTGCAGGTAAAATTTAGCAATTGGTCTAGATTGTTACTTTTCATTCTTACTGGAAGATAACTTTCACTCTTGTAGTATTTTTGTTTACTTTATGGTCTCCTCAGTGCTTCAGCAATAAACTAGAAAATCTCACAGACTGCCTCTAAGAAATAGCAGTTGAATGTTTCACCAAACAACTTTTGGTGCAATTTATCATAGATCTAAATTAAAGAAGGCTCCAAGAAAGGACAGCTGATGCACCTTAAATTTTCCACAAATTATAAGGCAACACACAAACCCTTACCACAGAGTATCTGCTTACGTTCATGCTTTCCAAATACTACGTTGTTTATGCACCATACTCTTACATCAGCTTCATATGATCTGTCCACCATAAGACAAAGGAAGTTTTAGCTAAAACTTAATTGCAAGTTCACTGTGATAACCTTAGAATGCTCTTCTTGGTCCATCTCATGTCCTCCCACCAGGGTCAGCAGAAGGATTCCAGTTCCATACAAAAGATGCAGCATAAGAATTAAAGGTGAAGAATCACAGAATCACAAAATGGTAGGGGCTGGAAGAGACTTCTGGAGACCATCTAGTCCAACTCCCTGCTAAAACAGGTTCCCTACAGGAGGTTGCAGAGGAAAGCATCCAGGTGCGTTCTTAATATCTCTAGGGAAAACATCACAGACTCTCTGGGCAGCCTGTACCAGTGCTTTGCCACCTTCAAAATAAATAAGCTTTTCTGTATGTTTGTATGCAACTTCCTGATTTCTATTTTGTACCTGTTGCCCCTTGCCCTGTCACTGGACACCACTGAAAACAGCCTGGACCCACTCACCTGGAACCCACCGTTAAGATATTTCGAAGCATTGATAACATTCTCTCTCTGTCTTCTCCAGGCTGAACAGTCCCAGCTCTCTCAGCCTTTGTAGAAGGGGGAAATGCTTCAGGCACTTAATCATCTTTGCAGCCCTCCACTGGACTCTCTCTAGAAGTTCTCTGTCTTTCTAGAACTACGGAGCCCAGAACTGCACACAGAACTCCAGATATGGCCTCACCAGTGCAGAGCAGAGGGAGAGGATCACTATCTACTTTTTCCTCATCTATACAAAGAACTCCCCCAGATTGACAAACAACAAGTACAGACAGAGGAAAATGCAG